TATTTCTTCTTTGAAAGCGTTAAGTGCCATTGTGAATATTTACAGAGGGCCTTTACTGTCCAAGATGTTGCAACATATTGACAGTAGATTCATAAGTTGTTGATCATTAACATTTTGTGTTTTTTATTTACAGAAACTTATTGGAGAAGTGTTTAATATTGTGAGCCAACAGTCTACTGCTCGACCTGGCTGCATTATTGAACTTGATGCAATAACCGACCAAGTAAAAACATGCTTGTGAATTGATGATATTAATATATTTTATCCCAGAGTGTTTTAATGTATATGATATATTTCATTCTCAGAATAATTCTCGTTTGATACTAAATACAGCCAACTTCTGTAGATTCCCGTAGTGAAAATCTAATGATTTAAGAATTATTCTCCAGTTGAATTGTATCTGTAGCTTTGTTTCCTGCTTAAAGGAAATTTGATTTAATTAAGGAAACTGTGACCTTGATCTCGAAATGCTGAGGAAAGGTAGAGTGCAGCTGCATGGAGGCTTGGGTTGGGTTTCTCTTTTTATATTATTACTCATTTGAGCTCAGTAGAGGGTGACCTCAGCTTCAGAATGTTTGCTCTATTAGGCCCCATATTGGGTGTTTTTATGAGGTTTCTTAAGATACAGATGAAACTGGATCAAAATACACATTTACCTTTTAATCACAGCCCTTTGTATAGTCAGTATTTCTCCCTAGCTACTATCTATAAAGAAAGAGAACCATTTTCCCTACAGGGAATTTATAAAACTCATTTTGGCCCTTGGGATAATTATTTCTTTGGGATTATGCTTATGGATTAAGGGGTAGAATTAACATATTCATTGGAAATATAAAAAAAGATTAGTTTGGTGAGGAAGTTACCAATATTCTTAAACAATGAAATGAAGAAAGAGCCAACTATATTTAAAAACAAATATAGAGTTATGTAATAATTTTTCATGGTGCCCAGCACATTCTATTGGGGAAAATGTAATCATTTCCACTAATGTAGAGAAATTAGCACATCAGCTCTTGGTAGCAGAACTGGGGCTGCCACATTGAAATTACTAATGCCTCGTAGGAAATCCATAACATTTTTATCCCCAAGTGCCATGCCTTTCTTCAAAATCAACCTATGGTTTCCTTTTTTTATTCCATAGGGATCTGGAAGAAGAGTTGGCTTCTTTCCCATAGATACCTTAATTTTTAATGGACTAGATGTTAAATTCATCCCTTACTTTAGCCCCTTCTGTACTCTTCAGGATATTAATATAGCACTCTCACCCAGCAATCTTTTTACTTTGTACTTGCTTCAGATTTTTTTCTCTCTGACTTTGGTGGCTATCTTTAACACAAGGGCTGGTAAACTGTAAGCACTGATAAATGACTTAGGCTTATAAATGACAATGTTTAAAACTCATTCTAGGTTTGTTCCCAGTGTGTTGTATGATTTCTATATCCCTGAAGACACTACCCTTCCCTTTTCTTTCATTTGTTCTTTTTCCCTAGGGGAAATGACCTTCTGTACTATGAATGTGAAGAGATTTTATCTTTCTACCTGGAGAGACATAAAAATACTCTAACTTTCGTAGAAATTCTATGGCTCAATTTAATATTATAGTCCTTTTATTTTCTTCTGTGATGTAAGGAGGCTGATTTTCCTTTATTCTCTAAGATTATAGACTATGTATCTAGTACCAAGATAATCATAACTATTTCCCTTTCTTGAAATCTATGGGTCAGCCATCTAATTGTCTTGACACGCTTCCATAATCAGCTTTTGTTTGGATCTAGCCTTTCCTTGAATTTCAGTTCACTTTTAGGGTTCTAAGTTGCCCTTTGTGATAGTCTTTACTCTTCTCTGGATGGTCCAAAAACATGATCATGTAGCATAGCAGGTGACAGTGATGTTTCATCCATCCTTCAAAAGAGAGCCTACTTATCTATGTGTAAAAATAGTTCTCTAGAGATGTGATGTCCCTCTGGCTGTTAAATCTATTAGAGGGATATCTGTTAGTTCTGTAGTAGTCTAGTGTTCCTTGTATAGTTGGCATAGCCCTCCCCAGTTAGTCATGAATCCTGATGCTTTGGACTCAATGTGGTGCAGATCGCTTAACACTTAACTGTTTTTTTAATTTTGTTTT